AAATTTTCTCCAAAAAGCAAAGGCTATAGCCCATGTTTTTTCACAAATTTTGAAAAGAATTGTTTTTCTTTATATTTCAATACAAAGATGCCCTTGATGTAAGACTTTTACAAGTATATGTATCAAATGTGCGTGTAGATATACTAATTCCAAAAATTTCCAGATATTTTATTTCATGTAGGGAGATTTAGAAAACTGAGAAAAAAAAGTGAAAACAAAAACTAAGTCAATGACAAAGTAGAATTTATTACAAGAGGTAGTCCTGTGGATATAACAAATTTGGAAAAACTGATGTACAAACAATTCACTGGTTATTACCCGTTTTATAAATGTGCACATTTGGACGTACATTCTCTTAGAAATGTTATATATATATATATTTTATCAATGAATATCTTGTATGTTTTTTGACTTCTTTGTGTACAGACATTTAACACGTGCACTATTACTCAATTCTTTTTTAAAATTTGTAAATAAGAAGAAGCTCGAACCCTGTATAGAAGTTACTCCCCAACAGTCCTAGGCGTAATTCCATACTCCGGGACAAGTATTTTCTCATATGAAACCTTTTAATATGTTACACAGTGGTGAGTTGAATATTGTTATACATTTTTAAAGATCCCAGGTTTGCTTTTGATGAAAAAAGGTCCACAGTGCTTGGGTTAAAGGGTTTTGTATTTTTGTGTTAAATTGATTTTTTGAATTTGCATGTTTTCCTAACATCATAATTAAATTTTTGAGATTATTTAAAAAGGTTGCTATAAAATTAGTAGCACCTGATCAGCTTTTACAGTTTAAGTGTAACAAAAGCTTAATTTTTGTTTAATTGGCTCTTTAACTTTCACAATAAATTACATGTAATCAAAAGATTGTCATACGACTGTATTTGTACAGCAGTCACCTTTCATCTCACTTATGACCTTTTGTATACATTACCATATTGATTTAAAATCTATCTGAGATTATTTTATATTAATATTCAATTCAGTAACAACAAGAGCAATCGGAGAGATTTCACATCGCTGCTCTTTTTTGAGATAGCATGCATTTATATTGGATAACGTCAAATTTCACCCAGAAACTCCTTCTCAGACCCAGATATTTTTTTGTAGTGTGATAAGTCTCAACCTTAATATGCCCATGAAATTTGGTACACATACGATCACATATTATTACCCTCGCCCATAGAGAGGGGGCAAGAGTATTGCAGTCAGGTCCATGTGTGTGTGTATGTGGAGATAGGACATTTTCGTGGTTTGGGGTTAATAACAGTAAAGTGTGATTGGATTTGTACCAAACTTCATGGGCACATTAAGGTTGAGACTTATGACACTACAAAAAATTTTATAAATGTTTGTGATAATACCAAATAAATTAGTTTTTAGAACCGATAATGAAAGTTAAACAATGATTTAATTATGTTCAGTTTAAATACATATTAGTTTATATATTTGCTAATTAACATTATACTTAAAAAACCAGTACTTGAAAACATTGTATCTAATTTAGTTATACTACCTTGTAGTTTAAGTTCTAGTATTATATCATAAAATATGGGATTATTTATAATTTGTCATAATGTTTCACAACGTAATATAGAAATGTATGACATTTTTTTGTTACAAGCTGAATGAGAAATTTACATTGTTTTTATTACCAGTCTTTCTTGAAGATGCCAAGTCAGAAGTTATTTAAATGATTTACGGATCTTGATGCCTTTTGTTTTTTTCAACATGGAAATCTGGGTTCTCTTTCTGCTTTATAGGTAAATTGAATATGTGAATAAACATATCTTTGTTGTAGAATATACTTTGAGAAATGAACCTAATCCTGCCGAAAGACTAATCGCTTTCACTGGCTTGTTGGGACAGAAATCATCTTATCCACTGGATATTGTGTGCAGACGAATGCAGACAGCAACAGTGACTGCCCAAAGTTATCGAACAATAAAAAGTACTTTTATTATTGTATTGAAAGAAGAAGGCTTAGTGGGTGGTCTTTATAAAGGGTTAAGTATGAACTGGGTTAAAGGACCAATCTGTATTGAAATTAGTATCACAATATTTGATCTTCTTCAGAAATTCTTCCGACAACTCAGATAGATAACACCCAATATTGCCGAGAATGAACCTCATTATTGAAGTACCAGTAACAGATTTAGTTGAATTTCTACGGTTACAGCTGTTATTAATCACTTTGAAAAGATGATTTACATAACGAATATAACAATGATCAAATGATTTGTTAGATTTTAGCTTGTTTCTCTGTTTTTTAAATTGATGTGGGGACAGATAAAGAAGTATTTGTAATTTGTATCTAGGGCAAAGCTACTAGGGTTAACTGCCACCATCCTTAAAGAGGGAAAGGCAACATGTCAGCATTACAAATTACCCACACTAAGGGATTGATTGTCGTTCTTATAATGCACTCACAGCTTAAAGTGCAGGAAATATTTTGTGGTGTTGCCCAGGTTCGATTACAGCTTACCGACTCCAACATCAGACTTAGAGTTAATTTTTATCTGTGATAATCAACATACAAAACTTGAATGAATGTAATATTTTAACCACTTTTTATTTTACCATATGCCAAAATATTATATTCCATTCACAACTAGATATTAACCATTTAAAGTTTTTAATCTGTTAATCAGATTTGAAACTAAATGTAGATTAACAATTTCACTCCACTTGTTTCCTTAGCAAGAGTTGAATCTGAAGTTACTGGACTTAATCACATAAGTCACTGCTCCCCATAAAGGACTTTAGTTTGTGTAATTTTTGTTTTTTCCAAAACGTTAAAACTGTAACAAGTTGTAAAACTACACAAGTGGATTAAAACAATGCAATAACAATGGTATTAAAACAGCAACTGCAATATTTATTATTCTGCAGCATACTGAAACACGTGCAATGGGTCGAGAATTTATAATTAATTGTAACTCTAAATGTCAAACACGGTATATTTCAATCCCATTAAACTTATGGCATTTTTAGTTCGGGTATCATAACCTGAAGAAGACAAACCAATGTTCTGTCAAAATCAATCATTTCATTATGCTTATAAATTGTTGAATGCCAACTTATTATTAAGGGTTCCTTTCTATTTTGGTGCCCATATTTCAATTTCTGCTGATAACTTGATAAACTATTATCATGCAAATATGGATAATCATATAAGTGTAGTTTTTATGTATAATTTTTCACTAAAACATCAAACACTTTATATATACATACACAGAAGTTTAATTAGTTTTGTTTCTATTGTAAATAAAGCCTTTTGTATCAGTGATTTATTATTTTTTTAGTTCACTGTCTAACTGTTCTTTGAGCTTACATAAGGATGGTGTATGTAAAAATTTGGGTATTTAACAATAAACACAGTTTGAAGTGAGTTGCACATCTAGTCAAAAGATAGAATCTGAAAAAAAAACCTTCCACAACTTATACTACAGTAGTATACAACAAAGAAAATTGTGTACTGAACTGAACTTAAAGTATTACTTTTCTTGCCGTTATATATATTTCAAAACATGTTTTTAAAAATGCACAAACATTTACTGCATAAATTTAAAAGCAAGATATATAATTAAAACTACGTTTCAGTTGAAAAAATTCCACTAAAACATGTAGAGATTTAATTGTATATTTTGCTTTTAAATTTATGCAGTAAATATTTGTGAATTTTTAAATGTTGAAGATCTTACTTACGCTTTGTAGTCATTCAAGCAGAGAAGTATATATTTTTTATTTTTGTTGAAAATTCTGTACTGTTCTACGTATTCTTTTTGGGAAGTTACTTTAAAAATATTAATAAAGGCTATTTTTGCATCATTTTTATTCAACTATGGCTGATCGTGAGATTCTTCTAAATACATGTGCAAATAAAATGTAACTTTAATTACAGTATATGTGCATGTGTAAAGCTACCTTCATTGAGATTACTACTGGTTTAACAAAGCAGTTCAGAACTTGAATCGAATTTGTATTTGTAGAGTTGTAACTTCTGTATTCTTCTAAAGTGTTCCAACATATTTTCCTCAAAGAATATATTTATACAAGTGAAGAAAACAAGAAAAAAAACAGAACAAAGTGAACTATGTTAAGAAATGGGAAATATAATGTTCATAGCTAAAAATAAAGATTCACTTATATTTACTTATAAAGCTCTAGAGCTTTAAAATGGTTCAATATTTGATGGAAAATATTTACAAAAATAAATATATTTTCCGAACTGTTTCAAGCATAATTTAAACAATTTTTTTTAATAAACAAAACAACCTGTCCAACAATCTCACCACATCAAACAAGTACTTGAAATTGCTTGAATGCGGAGATGAAATTTTGTTTCTACACTATAGAGTGGTCAGTCTTTTTTTGCCATGGCAGCAGTGTAAACCCTAACTGAAACTTTCCAAGTATCACATGACAGTGTGACATAATAAGTTTGAGCATAGAATGCGTAAGAACAAACCACAGAAATAACACAGTAGATGTAACTGGCTATATTTGGATGGTAGATGAAAGAATAAAACATTATTCAAATTTATACATAAAACTAAATTATGCTACTATTTTATGCTCTTATACTTGAATTTTCCTTGCTTTAAGCTTAAAATACTTTTCCTTATTAAATTTAATTTTTTAGTGAAATCACTTAATAATTTCAACACAACTTAATAACGAAATTTGTAAATATTTGCACTGGCCATTTCACAACCCTGCACTGTTTCATTTTATATTTTGTCAGGTTTAACATTCATAATGACAAAAATTCTCATCTTCTGATATTCTTTTATATTTTTATCTTCACAAATTTACTAAACCAATCTTAGGTACTGTTTGGTTACACAACCTCTGTAGAAATTGGCTTGATTCTATGCTGCAAATCAGTAAGTCTCAAATTTTTTAAACAGAGCCCCTTCCTCCCTCTTCTCTGTAATACTTTTAAACATACATGTAGTATATATATATATATATATATATACACTACACACACAAGTTCAGATTTACAATTTGTGGCAATGGTTCTTAAGACGGAGTCACAGAAATAACACGTTTACTAATAGGCAAGTAGTATCTCACGTGTATATGTATATACACACACACACACACACACTTCCAGCCGTTCATAATTGTGAAAGACTAAACATCTGAGTACATACACGGTTACACATACAATATTCTTTCTGTATGACAAATACAACTGAAAAAATGTTTACAGTAACAACATGTAAAGATGATGAAACTGTTATAGTTACAAAATTTTATTGATAGATAACATTTAAAAGCACTGTAGATACTCCATTTTTATTAACAAACTTATAATAAAAATTCACATTATCTAAATTCTATTATGCCATCTACTTGTTATGCAGTAACTGACTTAACGTAACTTTTCTCTTAAAACTTAAACCATATGTATTTAGAACAACAAAAAAAAAGATGAAAAATACAGTAAAATATGAAGTTCACAAAATCTAATGTCTACTACTAGAGTTCAGATATGTATCAGTACACATTTTTTTTACATAGTTACATTCTACAAGTAGATGATAATTATTACTACTCTCCAAATATGTAAATTTAAATGGCTAATTTTTTGTTTTTCGAATTTGAAGTAATGTTTTCTTAGTATGATGCTTCTTAATTGTATTTTCATATAATTTTTTTTATTTATAATGAAATAAAGACCCCCCCCACATATATTATGTAATCTTTGGTATAAGAATTAAGTTATATAAAAAAATTGGCTGTGGAGCCACACTGAATTTTGTATAAATACACTGAGAAACCGAGTTGAAGTTAATTTGTGTTTTTTTAATGACTTTTCAGTCTGGTTAAAAGAGATACATGGCCCAGCACATGATCCAAACATACATGACATAAAATAAAGCTATAGTGATAATTTAACTGCTACATTAAAAATAAATATTTAATTTTTACATGCTTGAATTTTTGTTACTGTGCAAAACCATGTTTATTAAGAAATAGTTGTAGAGAATATTTTACTTAAACATTGGTTTCCCAGTCTGTACTTCCACTTTCATGTTAACATTACAAAAACGTATAACAGTCCTACTGAGTAAATACTACACACACACACTAGCACTTTGAAGACTAATAACAAACATGACTAGGGTTAAAACATATGCTAATGTTTAAAATACAATTTACACATCCTCTATATTGTAATCTCTACTGTGAGACGCCAATCACAGCTTTAAGAAACAAACAATAACTTTACTATTCATCAGTCGTTAACATTACATAATGCTTCTTAATATTAACTTTCAATTTTTTTAAATAAAAAGGATGAGTAAAACAATGTACGTCCAATAAATCTATTGGATTGGTCTCTTAAATGTTTATAGATACATATACATTTTCTTTTCTGTCTAACTGTATGAAGCAAAAAGGGGGAAACTACAAGATTATTAAGGCCATAATTTCTCCGTGTGTTAGTGCAATAAGCTTTAGTAATCTAAAGCAGAAAGATGGATAAATAATATAGGCAACAAATAAATTAAATGAAAATAAATATATAGATATACAAACATTGCTAAAACAGGTGTGTGCAGTATCAAAATTGCTGACTAAAACAAATGAAATAACTTAACATTCCAAGTTTTACTCAAAGGTAGGTTTTGCTCATCCAAATTTAAATGTAAGAAAAAACAGTTAGTGATTTTATTACATGAAATTTAACTAATTACTTATACCCCCCAACAAAGAAGAATGTATGGTTATGCCACTCTCGCCGAGCGAGGAGAACGTTAATCTACAAAACCTTCGGTCATGTTACAACTGTACATGAAAAGGTAAAAAAAATCGAGGTCAGAAAGCACGAATAAATTTCATGTATAGTCCTTTTAGTGTGTTCAGCAACTGTTTAGATATAATAAATAATTTGGTGTTAAAATAAATAAATAAATAAAGTGCTAAAAGTCCTTACCATAATTCTGATGTAACATAACTAAAATTAATAAAACTTACACTTGCATAATTAATGTTTGTGAATTGTTTTGGCTCCAAGGATTGATGCAGCTTGCCTGTATGTTTAACTTTAAAATAATTTCATAATTTAATTTTGTTTCTTCTCAACCTTACTAAAGTCCCAATTTTTTGGTCATTACATGCTACACATGCACTTTTTCACCACTATGCTCTCCATACAGTACTTATTCTAGTTTTGTTGCTGCATATATTATAATTTTGCATTACATTCTTGATAACATCAATTTAGAATTAAACTAACATAGATGTCATTCAACCCAACTTTACAAATTTCACATAAAATATTCTTGTTGTATCATTTATCAAAGAAACGAGTTGATATTTCTTCATTTTATAATTTATCATTTGTTTTTTTGCCCTAAACAGATTTTCTCATCTTATTGTAAGACTTTTATGTGCAGTTTTTAACTTTCAACAGATTTTGTAATATGAATGGTATTTACTAGTTAAAATATCACTATTACACAATAAATTATATTACCTACTCGTATTTACAATATTTACCTTTCTACGTTTTCTCTGTGAAATATGAACAACAAGAAAAAAAAAATTAATTTCTTGTAGAAAATATTACCACTGATTAGTGTAATTTGGTCGAGGACCCACTTTCCTGTTCTTTAGTTGTTTCTTCTTTTCTCGAATCATGTTTTCAAACTCCACTCTACCATATGAATGTGTACAAGTCATATTTTTAGTCTTGATTGTTTTTATTTCATGTCTGACATATTAAATACATTTAATCTGTACACAGTAACACACTTATCTAGTTCTTAATTAAAAAACCAAACCAGTAAAGTAGTTAATTGTGACTTGAATAACTAATTCAAGTGATTATGTAAATAAATTTTGTTTAATACTGGCTGAAGGAAACTGTTCAGCATATAATACAAGTATATGGCAACACAATTTCCACAAGCTATAACTTCTGTTACAATGATAACAAAAACGTATTCAGGTAACAATGGTAATTTTCTTTTATAGCCTTATTAACTTTTAATGTTCACCATAGAATTCTGTTAATTTTTAACAGGTAACAATGGTAATTTTCTTTTATAGCCTTATTAACTTTTAATGTTCACCATAGAATTCTGTTAATTTTTAACAGGTAACAATGGTAATTTCTTTTATAGCCTTATTAACTTTTAATGTTCACCATAGAATCCTGTTAATTTTTAAGAGGTAACAATGGTAATTTTCTTT